GGGACTCCCCTGAACCAACCCCCCCCTGCATCCCCTTCCTGGCCATCCAGCTTTTCCCAGACTCCAAACCTTCCCTTTTTCTGGACTCTGGGACCCTGGACCCCCATTCCTGCCTTTCCCAGCCCCCAGATCCCCCTTTTCATCAACACTTTGGAACCACGGGACCCCCATTCCTGACCATCCTGGTTCTCCCCACCCTGTAATGGGGGTGGGGACACTGGAGACCCCTGGACACTGATTTCCTGGGCACAGGAACACCCTGGACCCCCCGTTCCACCTCTACCAGCCCCTGCACCTCTCTTCCTTTGAACCTTGGACCCTTTCCAGCCTTCCCGGCTCTCCCAGCTCTCCCACTTCCCCCTTTCCTTGGCTCTTGGACTCCCCAGATTCCCCAAATGTCCATGTTCCCTCAGTTCTCCACTCCCTGCGTTTCCTGAGCGTGACCATGTCAGAACCTGGCCTGGGGGTCCCCCAGTATGTGGCTGTGGGGTACCTGGACGGGATCCCCTTCCAGCGCTACGACAGCGAGCGGGGCCGGGCGGAGCCGCAGACGCCGTGGATGGCGGCCGGAGCCGAGCCGGGATATTGGGATAGAGAGACCCAGATCCACAGGGGGAACCAGCACGTGGCCATCACCAACGTGGAGACGCTGCGGGGCCGGTACAACCAGAGCGGGGGTGAGTGGGGGACAGGGGGAGTCTGTGGGGCTGGGCTGGGATCTGTGGGGCTGGGCTGGGATCTGTGGGGCCAGAGGGACCCATGGGGCTGGGGTGGAATCTGTGGGGCTGGAATGGGGATCCGTGGGGCTCTATACGGCTGGATTGGGGCTCTGTGGGGCTGGAACACAACTCTGTGGGTCTCCATGGGTCCAATCCCACCCTCTGCCCAGGTCTCCACACGCTGCAGCGGGTTTGTGGCTGTGACCTCCTGTCCAACGGGAGCATCCACAGAACCCTTCGGTACGGCTACGACGGGCGGGATTTCATCTCCTTCGACCTGGGATCCGGGAGCTTCGTGGTGGCCGACAGAGCTGCCCAGATCACCCAGAGGCGCTGGAAATCCAAAGGGTACGAGGCTCTTCAGCACGAGCTGGCACAGAGCTGTGTGGAAGAGCTCCAGAAATACATCAGATGTGGGCAGGAGGCGCTGGAGCGCAAAGGTGAGGGAGACGGAAATCCCATGGGAATGGAATTTGGGAGAATGGAATTTGGAAACAGGAATTCCCATAGGAATTCTGTTTATGGATGTCACCATTCCCATGAGAATTCCATGGGTCTGTCTCACCATTTTTCCATTCCAATGGGAACGGATCCCATCCCGTGGATGGATCCCACTGTTGTCCCATTCCAATGGGAATTCTGTGGATGGATCTCACTTGAATCCCATTCGCATGGGAATTCCATGGATGGATCTCACCCTTATCCCATTCCAGAGCCCCCCGATGTCCATGTGTCCGGGAAAGAGGAACACGGGATCCTGACGTTGTCCTGCCACGCGTACGGATTCTACCCCGGGATGATCGGGATCAACTGGCTGAAGGGGGATGAACTGCGGGATCAGGAGACGGAGTGGGGCGGGATCGTTCCCAACAGCGACGGCACCTTCCACAGCTGGGCCAGGATCGAGGCGCTGCCGGGGGAGCGGGAGCAGTACCGGTGCTGGGTGGAGCACGCCGGAATGCCGGAGCCCGGGATCTTCGCCTGGGGTGAGGCTGGGAACGGGCAATGTGGGAACTGGGCATTTGGGAAGGAGGAATTCGGGAATGTGGAGCAGTGGAATTGGGGGTCCCCTCCCCCTCCTCACCCTTCTGCCCTTCCCAGAGCCGGAATCCATCTGGAATTCCACCCCAGTGCTGGTCGCTGTGTCTGTCGGCACTGCCATCATCATCATCATCATCATCATCGGCCTCATCGGATTCAGTGTCTGGAAGCTCCGATCCGGTAACTCCCGGGATGGGGGTCGGGAAGGGGCACGGATCCGCCCGGCAGCATTCCGGGGATCCTGTGCCACGGGTGCTGATCCCGCTTTCTTTCCATAGGGAAGAGGGAGGGGAATGGATACAACATGGCCACCAGTAAGTACCAGCAGCGTATCTGGATCCCGGTCCAGATCCTCTCCACATGGATCCCATGATGGATCCTCGTATAGATCCAGGTGTGTGATCCATGCCAGAATCTCATGGATCTTCTTTTCACAGGAACAGACACAGGAACCAACAGGTTCCCCACAGGTATGGAGCAGGATCCAGGTGGGATTCCAGAGGGGAATTAGGGCAGGATGGATAGAGCAGGACTGCGTCCAGATCAGGGCAGGATTCCAGAGTGGGATCAGGACTGGATTCTGGAGCAGGATCAGGTGGGATGGACGGAGTGGGACTGGGGTGGGATTCCACAGTGAAATTGGGTGGGATGGATGGAGCAGGATGAGGTGGGATTCTGGAGCAGTTCCTCCTCTCTGTGGGCTCCACAGCTGGATCCATCCCATGGGATGGGGATAGGCATGTGGTGACTCTGTCCCCTGCTCTCATCCTGGCAGGATTCACCGCCTGATCGATCCACGGTTCTGATTTCAGAGGTGCCAAAATTCAGAGCCATTCCTGTTGTCACTCTGGTTCTCCAGCAACGTTTCTCTTCCATCCCCTCCAAGGGATCCCTCAGGAAAAGAACCTTTTGCTGTGCCTCGGGAGCAGGTCGTGACACGGGCTCCGACAGAGTCACGCGCAGGGAGCGCCGGAAGGGCAGAACTGGGGGAACAGTGGGTTGGGTCTGGCAGGATGCTCTGCCCTCATAAGGCCTAAAATGCAGTCAGAGAATCCAAACAATCCAACTGTCTGTGCTGAGCTACCCCTGGTGCCAAGGGGCTGCTTTAGTGTTGGACTGTGCTAAAACCAGCCTGGTTCACAACTGCAAACACCCCCCCTGCTTTTGGAAGCAGGATTTGACAGATAAGCTGCTGGCTGGCCTGGAGAAATGGCACTGGCAGTCCATCACTTTATAACTTAAAAGCCCAGTCCAACTTTCACATGGCAGATTCTTCCACAGACTTTCTTGGAGTGTGTGGAGCTTCTCCTGTGGAGCAGGGACAGCACTTTGTGGTTACTCAGGGGTTAAGTTGTGTGGTGAGTTACATCAGTCTCTAGGTGAAGATTGTTTCTTTTTGCCTGCTCTGATAAAATTGGATTTGGAATTACTTTGATACAGTGCATTATTTTATGCTGTTTTATACTCTATGAGTAGGTTTTAGCTTTTACACTCTATAGTAAATAATTCTGATCAAGGTCTTTTGTCTGTTCGCTCATCTGTTTATTTGTTCCTTTGTCATAATAAAGGATTCATTTTATATAAATATCTCTGATTTGGCATCATTAAAACCTGCAGGACAGTGATTCTAGCACACCTCTGTAAGTCCTTTAACTTGACCTGTTGACAAAGTCTGGGGCTGGGATTGGATCCAGCCGCCCCCGGGCTCCTCCCTGAGAAGGAGTTCAGAAAGCCAGAGGGTCCTTCCTGCACCTCGTAGCTCCACAAAAGGGCTTCTCTACTAAACTTTCTCTCAGCCTTCCACTCCCCCGCGACAAGGGGCGGGTCTGGCGGGAGGAGAAAAGATGATCTTCATATTGCCAGAGTCGGGGGTCACCTGGAGCACTGTTTTGTTCTTTCCATGCCATCACTGCCAGTGAGTTGGTGTGTGACAACAGTGCTCCCCGTACAAACCTCCCCCACAGGGATTGTCTGCACTGGACCTCACCTGGATCTACAGGGTCCTTATTTGAATCCCCGTGGATTATCTCCAGCACAGCTGATTCTCTCAGCTACTGGATCCCTTTCTCCCAGGTGTTCCATCTGCTTGGGCACACTCTTAGATAGCCTTGAGAGAACACCTTTCCCTAACACTTGACAGGGCTCACCTCCAGAGACTGAGAGTTTCTGTCCTCTTCCCAATCCCCTGGTCAATCCCAAGATCCCAGGACAGGGATCCCAGTTGCTTGGCTTTACTCCCACCTAGTTCCATATGCTGGGCCATGATATCCCAGCACTGGAGCAGCCAGGTCAGCAGGGGCTCTCCCAGCTGGAGGCTGAAATCTTTTCACATCTCTCACAGCTCATCTGGGGATGGGGATCTGGTGATTATCTCTGGCCCTGCCTCTTGCTCCTGTTCTGAGGGCTCTGCTTCCCCTTCATCCCTCACTAACTGAGCTGATTTGGTCTTGGATTTCTTCTGTAGAGGGGCAACTGCTACTGGCACAGGTTGTTCCTCTGCAGTTTGAGTGGCCACAGCACCTCTTGGTCTCCTTTCCTCCTCCTCCCCCTGAGGGCACTGGGTCTTAGTTTAACAAGATTCCAACTTAGAAATTAAGAGACTTTAGGTGGAAGTGTGGAAAAGGAAAAGAAACAGCTTTTTATTACCAAAATCTGAATAAACAACAAATGGTGCAACCAAAACCTTTCAGAAGAAACCAAACAAAGTCCCAAATCCCCAGGTGGGGGGGAGAAACTGTCCCGGCAGTTCAAAGCTCTCGCAGCCCCGTGTGCTCGCAGCCAGCAGTGAAGGAGTCCCTTTTCCCAGGGGCAGTCCCCAAAGCAGAACACCTCGCTCCCAGATGGGTCGGGCTCTCTCTCTCTCTCTCTCTCGGTCGTTCTCCACGAGGTGTCCAGGGGGGGAAAAATCTTCCTCTCAGGAAAAGAGAAGAAGGTGGCCAAAACCAGCTCCCGCTCTGTCCGGTCCCGGACAAACCCCAAAAGCCCCCGAACAAAGGACCCCCCGCCCTCCCCGCGGCCACCGCGGTGTCCCCGAGAGCCGCCCTCCCCCCACTGCCCCTGCCCAGCGCCTGCGGCTCCGCTCCAACCCACCCCATCCCGGGAGACACAGATGGCAATGGGGGGACACTGGGAAACAATTCCAACACCTCTTTTCAAACCTCTGACACCTGCTTCCCAGACATTCCCAAAGAAGGGGCTTCCCGTGGCCTCGAGCCAGGGACCGACCTTTGTATTGAACCAAGTCCTGGAGAGACACGTTCCCATCCCTCTCCCCATTCCAATTCCTGGGGTTCCCATCCCTCTCCCCATTCCCACTTCCTGCTGTGCCAATCTGTTCCCAGTCTCCCTGTTCCTGTCCCCACTATCCACCCCTCTGTTTTCCCTATTCCCATTCCAGGTGTTCCCATTCCCATTCTCGGTGTCCCAATTCCCATTCCTGGTGACTCCAACCTCCTCCCAATGTCCCCATTCCCATTCCTGGTGTCCCCAACCTGCTCACAATGTTCCCATTCCCATTCCCAATGTTCCCATTCCCTGCCCAGGTGTCCCCATTCCCATTGCTGATGTCCCGATTCCCATTCCTGGTGTCCCCATTCCAATTCCAGGTGTTCCTACTCCCATTCCAGAGTTTCCCATCCCATTCCAGGTGTCTCCATTCCCATTCCAGGTGTCTCCATTTGCATTCCTGGTGTTCCCATTCCCATTCCAGAGTTTCCCATCCCCATTTCACGTGTCCCCATTCCCATTCCTGCTGCCCCCATTCCCATTCCTGTTGTTCCCAGTCTGCTCCCAATGTTCCCATTCCCATTCCAGGTGTTCCCATTCCCATTCCAGGTGTCCCCATTCCCATTCCCCCGTCCCCATTCTTATTCCCGGTTCCCAGGGAGGAACTGCCGGATGCTGGAGGAGGAGCCAGAATTTATTGCCCAAAGCAGGAGATTTTCACACCAAAATTAACCCCCGGTGATGTCACCGCTGTCCCTGTGATGTCACTGCTGTCCCTGTGATGTCACCAATGTCCCTGTGATGTCACCGCTGTCCATGTGATGTCATCGATGTCCCCGTGATGTCACCACTGCCATTTCCCCTGCTGGTTTACCTTAAAACCAGCACACCAGGTCTGTGCCCAACGGGGGTCCCTGTGGATCATCCAACGCGGGTCCTCCCATGGCTGATGGAGTTGGAGCAGCGGCCGAAGCTCTTCCCGCAGTCGGGGCACTCGGGGCTTCCATTACTGGTGGGTCCGTTGGTGGGAGGTCAAGGAAGAGCTCTGCCTGAAGCTCTTCCCACACTCCCCACAGTGGAAGGGCCTCTCCCTGATGTGGAGGCGACGGTGGGTGTAGAGGGTGGAGCTGTCCCACCTTCCCTACACGTGTAGGGCTGTTCCCCAGTGTGGATGTGCTGGGGGCTGAGCAGCTTGGGGCTTGTGCTGAAGCTCTTCCCACATTCCAAGCACTTGTAGGGCCATTCCCTGGTGTGGATGCAACGGTGTTTGCAAAGGCTGGAGCTGTCCCTGAAGCTCGTCCCACACTCCGCACACGTGTAAGGCCTTCCCCACTGTGGATCATCTGGTGTCGGAGCAGGTGGGAGCTCCGAGTGAAGCTCTTCCCACATTCCCCACACATGTAGGGCCTTTCCCCACTGTGGATCATCTGGTGTCGGAGCAGGTGGGAGTTCTGAGTGAAACTCTTCCCACATTCCTCACACATGTAGGGCTGTTCCCCAGTGTGGATGCGACGGTGCATGCGGAGGTTGGAGCTCTGATTGAAGCTCTTCCCACACTCCCCACACGTGTAGGGCTGTTCCCCAGTGTGGATGCGACAGTGCTTGCGGAGGTTGGAGCTGTCACTGAAGCTCTTCCCACACTCCCCACACGTGTAGGGCCGTTCCCCACTGTGGATGAGACGGTGCCTCAGGAGGTTGGATCTCTTGCTGAAGCTCTTCCCACATTCCAAGCACCTGAAGGGCTTTTCCCTGCTGGGAGGCTGCTCAGGGACCACCAGCTCGCAGCTCCGCCTCAAGCTCTGACCGCCTTCCCGGCACACGCTGGCTCTTTCCTCCTCACAGCCCCCTGGGATGGCTTTGCAGCTCCTCCTGCGGGGGCATCTCCGGCCCTTTTCCTCCCCGCTGCCTTCCTGCGCCGGGGAGCCCTTCAAAACGGGCTCTCCCACCAGGCTCTGCCGCCGGGATTTGTCCTCCGCGCTCTCCGGCCTCACCTCGGGGCCTGGGGCAGGAAGCAACAAGGACACGCAGGGGATTTGCCTCCGGCCCACAGGGAAACCCAAGGACATCCCCCCAACTCCGGCCCCGGCAGGACGGCCACAAAAGACAAAAGACCCACCCAAAGGGGCACTGACTTCCTCCTCACCTGCCTGGGGGGCCCGCGGCATCTTCCTCTTCCTCGCAGCCTCCTCCTCCATCCGCCCAAGCTTTGGGAAGCAGAAATCCTGATGGGGGGGAAAAACAAGAGGTGAGCGCGTTGCCTTGGGGGTTCCTCCTGCCCAAGTCCAGCTCTAGGACTCACCGGGCATCTTGTGTCCATAAAAACCCCCAAAACACCAACATTCAGCCCAAAATCCCCTGCCAGGAGTTCCCCCTCTCTGCTCTCCGGGGTTAGGGGGGTCCCCCCTGTCTGGCCTGATGGCACTTCTGCCTGCATTGGGGGTCCCCCTTCTCCGGGCTGCCAGGAGTCCTGCGGCTCCGGGGGGTTCCCACTCTCCGGGGTCCCCTTGAGTGTTGCCAGGGGGGTCCCAGGGCTCACTTCTCCCCACTCTGCCTCCCGGGGCCGGCCGGCCCTCCTCTCTCGCCTCCCACCCTCGCAAACCTCTTGGCGCTCTCGGCTCCCACCCCGCCTCAAGGCCCCCCCTCCTCTCCACACTCCAAGGCCTTCCCCCTCTCCGGGACCCCCGCTTAAGGGGCCCGGCGCTCCCTCTCTGCTCCCCCCCTCCAGCATTCCGGGGGTCCCCCAGCTCCGGGATTGCCCCTCTCCGCTCTCCCCACTCCGCGGCTACCGGGGTTCCCCCCCGGCTCTCACGGGGGGCCCCCAAACCGCTCTCGCCCCCCCGCCATTGCCGAGCCACTGCCAGGACCTTTTGGGCTGCTCTTCTTTATGCTCCCGCTCGGCTCCTCCCTCGGCTGGGCCGCCGCTTTTGGCGGGTTTCCTCCTCCAGGATCCGCCCCCTGCAGCCCTTCCCCCCCTGGCCCAGCCCCCTTGGGCCCCCCTTGGGCCCCCCTTGGACCCCCCTTGCCCAATAAGTCTGATTATACAGACAAGCAATTGGTTTTAATCCACAAAACCCAAATGTAGAACCCAGCACCCTGGACCATGAACAAAGTGCTGTTCCTTGGGCCCCCCCCGAGTCCAAAGTAAAGGGAGAGGGAAAAACCTGCTGGTGGGAGAGCTGTTGCAGTCTGGTCAAAAGTGGTGATTGCAGTCCAGTTGAGGGGGGTGGTCTCAGGCTGGTTGAGAGCGGTGAGCTGCAGTCCTCCTCTGGATCCCACGAGTGGTAAAAAGGTTCCGAAACTCCAGGTTTATATATTCTCCAGTTCAGGCAGGAATGCCCAGTCCTCCCCTCACAGCGGGCAATTCCATAAAAGGATGCTTAGTTCTTCCCTCAGAGCGGGCAACTCCATAAAAGGCTATGAGGATGCTCAGTCCATAAAAGGGTATGAGGGTGCTCAGGACATCCCCCCCACCTCGCAGGCCTCTCCTGACAACAGTTCCTGGGAAAATGGCATGGAAGGACAGAGAATCCACAGTTTTGGGCTACACCCATCCAGTGAGGAATCGGTCCCAGCTGTTCTAACTAGGACACTGTGTCCATCATCGCTGCCATCATCATCATCATCGGCCTCCTGGGAGTCGGTGTCTGGAAGCTCCGATCCGGTAACTCCCGGGATGGGGGTTGGGAAGGGGCACGGATCCGCCCGGCAGCATTCCGGGGATCCTGTGCCACGGGTGCTGATCCCGCTTTCTTTCCATAGGGAAGAGGGAGGGGAATGGATACAACCCCGCGCCCACCAGTGAGTCCCAGCAGCGTGTGTGGATCCAGATCCTCTGGGCAGGGATCCCAGGATGGAGGCCGGGATTCCAGAGGGGAATGGGGGCCTAATGGCTGGAGTGGGATTGGAAGGGGATTCCAGCTCAGGGCAGGATTCCAGAGTGGGCTCAGGTGGAATTGTGGACTGGGATCAGGGTTGGATTCTGGAGTGGGATTGGGGTGGGATGGATGGAGTGGGATTGGGGTGGGATGGACAGAGCGGGATCAGGAGGGAATCCAGAGCAGTTCCTTCTCTCCCTGGGCTCCACAGCCGGCTCCATCCCCTGGGATGGGAACAGGGACATGGTGACTCCTTTCCCCACTCTCATCCCAGCAGGAATCACGGCCTGAGCGATCCTGGAGCTGGATCCGCCCCTTCCCTCTCCCTGCGGAAAGGCAGGAGCTGCTGGCAGAGCTCATCCCGCTGCTCCCACCCACCCCGGCCCCCCTGCGGCTCTTCCCGATGGATCAACTTCCTGCTTTTTCCCGTGTGAAACCCAGGACCACAATTATTCCTGAGGCTTTAATTTGGGTGTGAAAATCTCCTGCTTTGGGCAATAAATCCTCGTTCCCTCCTCCGGCATCCGGCAGTTCCTCTGTGGGAACCAGGAATAGGAATGGGGACAGGGGGGACTGGGATGGGGACATTGGGGACAGGGATGGGGACACTGGGAGCATGTTGGGGACAGCAGGAATGGGAATGGGAACTCCAGGAATGGGAATGGGGACATTGGGAGCAGGTTGGAGTCACCAGGAATGGGAATTGGGACACCGGGAATGGGAATGGGGACATGGGAGACCAGGATAGGGATATTGGGGACAGGAACGGGGACACTGGGAACAGGTTGGCACAGCAGGAAGTGGGAATGGGAACAGGGATGGGAACCCCAGGAATGGGAATGGGGAGAGGGATGGGAACCCCAGGAATGGGAATGGGGACAGGGATGGGAACGTGTCTCTCCAGGAGTTGGTTCAATACAAAGGTTGGTCCCTCGCTTGAGGCCACAGGAAGCCCCTTCTTTGGGAATGTCTGGGAAGCAGGTGTCAGAGGTTTGAAAAGAGGTGTTGGAATTGTTTCCCAGTGTCCCCCCCATTCCCATCTGTGTCTCCCAGGATCGGGTGGGTTGGAGCTGTTTCTTTTCCACACTTCCACCTCAAGTCTTTTAATTTCTAAGTTGTAATCTTGTTGAACTAAGACCCAGTACAACCAAAAATGCTGGGAAAAGGGGGATTGGGCATCCTCAGCCCCCCATCTCCCTCTTGTTTGGGGCAACTCTGAGCTCCGGGACAACTTGATCCTCTGTTTGAGGTTCCCCTGATCTGTGGGAGCCCTGGGTGGCCGGTTTTGGGGTTCCCTGAGCTTTGGGAGCTTTGACTGGGCATTTTTGGTGGGCCCTGAGCTCCCCCCTCCCCCGCAGCCCACGGACCCCCCCGAGCCCCCCAGCCCCGGGGCTGCCGCGGGGGCCCCCAACGGCCCTCAGCCAATCCCAAAGCGCCCACGCCGCCCGCGCCCAATCCCAGCGCGCCGCGCTGATGACTCATCAGTCGCCGGGAAGACGCCTCGAAAAAAGGGCCCCAACTGCGCCCTCAGCCAAGCCCAGCGCGCCCCAAACCCCCCAAAACGGCGCCGCCCGGCTGGTTTGGGGCTGTCAGCAGCTGTCCGGCGCTGGGCATGGAGCGTGTGCGGGGAGCTGGGGCCGTGCTGGCGGTGCTGGTGGTGCTGGGAGCCCCCCCGGCTGCGGGCGAGGAGCTGTCGGGTGAGCGGGGGGGCGGGTAGGGGGGTGGGGTGGGAAAGGGGGGGAAAGAGGGGAGAAAAGAGGGGTTGGGAGCCCCAAAAGTGAGTGGGAGGGGGGTTGGAAGGCCCGGAGTGAGTGGGAGGTGGGTGGGAGCCCCAAAGTGAGGTTGGGGGGGTCTGGAGATTGTGGTACCGGTGGGAAAGGGGTGGGAGAGGGGGGCAAGCGGGTGTGGGAGAGCAGGCAGAGGGGTGCCCTGGGGGTTCCTGGGTGTCCCTTGAGCCCTGGAGCGGTTCCCTGGTGCTCTGGGGGGTGGGATCCGCATTGGGGGGTCCCCAACCTCCCTGTCCGTCCCCGGGGGGCTGATGGGGGGTTCCCCCCCAGCCAAGAGCCGGTGCTGGGGCGTCCGTGGGGCAGAGGGGGGTGGGAAAGGGGGGTCCGGGGTGTCCCCCTGAGCTCCCAGCCTGCTGTGGGGGACTGGGGGATGATGGGGGGCACGGGGCACCCCTTGTCCTGTGTCCTGCACACACAGGGGTGTTTCAGGAGATGTTAAAGTTCGAGTGTCACTTCATCAACGGCACCGAGCGGGTGAGGAACGTTCTGAGGAAAATCTACAACCGGGAGCAGTACGTGCACTTCGACAGCGATGTGGGGGTGTTTGTGGGGGACACCCCGTACGGGGAGAAGTTTGCCAAGAAATGGAACAGCGACCAGGAATGGCTGGAGTATGCACGGTCTCTGGTGGACACGTGCTGCCCTCAAAACTACAAGCTGTACACCCCGTTCAGCGTGGAGAGGAGAGGTGAGCGTGGGGCAGAGCGGGTCGCCTCGGGCCCTGCCCCAGGAATGTCCCTGGAGCCCCTCAAACCCTCCCTGGGAATCACCCCAGACCCCTCAGCCCTCCCTGTGCCCGTCCCGTGGCCTTTTGCCCCCTCCCAGTTCTTCCCAGTCCATTCCAGTCCATTCCAGTCTCTCCCAGTGCCCCCCCCGTCTCTACCCCGATGGGGCCACCGTGCTCACGCCTCTCAGCCAATCCCAGCGCGTCTCTCTGATGACGCTCCAGTTGCCAGGCAGACCCAAACCAAAGACTTCCCTCACCACGACTCAGCCTCCCAGTCCCGATCGCTTCCTTCCCAGTCCAGAGTAGTCCATCCCAGTCCTTCCCAGTCACTTCCAGACCCTCTCGATCCGTTCCCAGTCGTTCTCACTTCACTCCCACATCTCCCAACTCTCTCCCCAGTGACCCCCCCAGCCCATCCCCTTCTCCCCCACTCTATTCCCAGTCCCTCCCACTGCCATCCCAGTCCCTCCCAGTGCCCCCCAGCTCAGCCCAGTGTCCCAGGGCAACTGGGAGGGAGTTTGGTGGGTGCTGGGGGTGATAGGAGGGGTGTTGGAGGGTCCTAAAGGGTCTGGGAGGGGCTGCGTGGGATCCCTGCAGGGACTGGGAAGGGACTGGCAGGAGGTTTCAGGGACCCCCGGGTGGGCTGGGGGAGAGCAGGCCGGGCTCTGTGGGGTGCCGGGGGGTGCGTGGGAGGAGGTTTTGGGGGTGCTGACCCCCCCGGTTCCCCCCAGAGATGCCACCGGACACCGTCCGCAGCAAGATCCTGGTGGGGGTCGGGGGCTTCGTCTTGGGCTTGGTCTTCCTGGCGCTGGGGCTCGGCTTCTACCTGTGGGAGAAGATAAAGGGAGGGTCCTCGGCGGTTTTGTCCCCCCCTTGCCCACAGTCATGCCCAGTATCATCCCACTATGATTCCAGTCACTCCCAGTCTGATACCAGTCTCTCCGAGTAGGATCCAAGTTACCCCCTGCATGGTCCCAGTAGCTCCCAGTCACCCCAGTCAAGTTCCACTCCCTCCCAGTCCCTCCCAGGACCATCCCAGTAGGATCCCAGTGACACCCCAGATGGTGGCACTCACACCCAGGATGAACCCAGACATGCCCTGACACTCCCAGGATAAAGCCATTTGCCCCCAGCAGGCTCCCAGTTCCTCCCAGTCACTGACTATGGTTCCAGTTACTCCCAGGATGATCCCTGGCACTCCCAGTCACTCCCACTATGATCCCAGTCAGTCTCAGTATGATCCCAGTCACTCCCAGTATGATCACAGTCACTCCTGGTCTCTCCCAGTATATCCCAGTTGCAGTCAATGTGGTCCCACTCACTCCCAGTTGCTCCCAGTAGCTTCCAGCATAATCCCAGTTGCTCTCAGCCACTCCCAGTCACTCTCAGTGTGGCCCTAGTTGCTCCCAGTTTTTCCACTGTGATCCCAGTTGCTCCCAGTTGCCCTGAGCAGAGACCCAGTTGCTTCCAGTATGATCCCTGTCTGATCCCAGTCTGATCCCAGTAATATCCCAGTATTATCCCAGTACAATCACAGTTGTCCCCAGCATGGGCCAAGTTGCTCCCAGTTGCCTCCAGCACAGATCCAGTCAATCCAAGTGTGATCCCAGTCTTCCCCCAGCATGGTTCCAGTCAATCCCAGTTGCCCCATTGTAGATCCAGTCACTCCCAGTCACTCCTAGTGTGGTCCCAGTCTTCCCCCAGTATGATCCCAGTAACCTCCAGCGTGATCCCACTTGCTTCCAGTATATCCCAGTTGCACCAACATGGTCCCAACTGCCCTCAGAATGCTCCCAGTCACTCCCAGTATGACCCCAGTCACCCTCACTGTGGGCCCAGTTGTCCCCAGCATGGGCCAAGCTGCTCCCAGTTGCCTCCAGCACAGATCCAGTCAATCCAAGAGTGATCCCAGTCTTCCCCCAGTATGGTCCCAGCCAATCCCAGTTGCACCACTGTGGATCCAGTCACTCCCAGTTCCTCCCAGTTACCCCCCACATGGTCCAGGTCACTCCCAGTTGCTCCCAGTCACCCCCAGAATGGTTGCAGACTCTCCCAGTAGATCCCAGTTGCCCTCAGCATGCTCACAGTCATACCCAGTGACTTCCACTTGCCCCACGATACTTCCAGTTCCCATCAGTACGATCCCAGTCTCTCCCAGTCACTCCCAGTCTATGCCAGTTGCCTCCAGAATGCACCCTGGCAATCCCAGTCACTCCCACTTTCTTCCAGGATGATCCCAGTTGCTCCAAGTATGTCCCCAGTTGGCTTCCAGCATGGTCCCAGTGGCTCCCAGTTCCCCTTGAATAGTTCCAATCACTCCCAGTATGATCCCAGTCACTGACAGTCACTCCCAGGATGGTTCCAGTATGGCCCTGGTCACTCCCACTAGGATCCCAGTCACTCCCAGTTGGATCCCAGTTGCCCCCAAGGTGGTCCCAGTTTCTCCCAGTATGATCCCACTATGAGTCCAGTCACCCTCAGTACAATCCCAGTAACTTGCAGACACTTCCAGTATGACTCCAGTTTGATCCCAGTCATCCCCAGGATGACCCCAGTCACCCTCACTGTGTCCCCAATTTCTGTGGAGAAGCAAGATTCAGGATGGGAACAGTTCCAGGCATGGAGAAAAGCATACAGCAATTGGCAGGACTTTCATATGGACTTTCACTGTATTCATGCTACACAGTGCACAACTGCACATGCCCAGGCTTCCTCCTCCCCCTTTTGCCTGTGCCCTGTTCTGATTTGCTCCCCCATTGGTCTGTCTGATAGCCCTCTCGATGTTCTGCCCCCTGCCCCTGGTGGGACGTTAAGAATCGGGCGCACGCCTGAATAAACAAGTCTGCTTGCACCCTTCCTCGTGTCCTGTCCCCTCTTCCCTTCGGACCGCGACAAATTTCCCCTAGCATGGGTCAAGCTCTCCAACTGTGATCCCAGTATGATACCAGTACTCCCCAGCATGGTCCCAGTTGCTCCCAGTTTCTCCCAGTGTGATCCCAGTTGCTCTAAGTTGTCTCTAGGATTGACCCAGTCTCTCCCTTTAAGATCCCAGTCTGATCCCAGTATGAGCCCAGCAGGGGCCCAGCTGCTCCCAGGATGACCCCAGTTGCCCCCAGCGTGATTCCAGTTGCTCCCATTCACCCTTCCTATGGTTCCACTCACTCCCAGCCACTCCCAGTATATCCCAGTTGCCCCCAACATGCTCCCAGTTGCTCCCAGTATATCCCAGTTGCCCCAGTTCTGGTCCCGCTGGCTCCAGTCCAGGTCTCGGTGTATCCCGGTGTCCCCCCTGTCCCCCCACCCCGCTCTCACCCCCTTTTCTCTCCCCACAGAGCTCCTGAGCCGCCGGCGGCCGCAGCCCCTCCCCGTGGCCTCGGGCCCAGCCGGGACCCCCCAGTCCATCCCCACCCACACTTTGGGGGGTGTCAGAGACTGGAACAGTTAATGATTTATGCATTCTAAGAGACTTCTGCAGGCTTTTGACTTTCTGATGGGCAACTGGGCCCATCCCCCTCCTCCAGTGCAGAAGATGTCAAGCCCCCAAAAGGCGGGAAGAGCCGAGTTTACCACGCCCTCCACATGAACTCTGTGCCAAAAAGGGGGACACCCCCCTATGGAAACAACTCCCCGCCTTGGGGGAGGTGCAAAGGATATGGATATTGACTGGTGACTTTGGGGGTTTGGGGGGTATTTTTCCTTCTTTTCCCCTCCCCACCTGTGGATCCAGACCATTCCTTTTACATGGCTGGATCCAGTGGGCAGTGACTATTTACGTTTTTACCAATCTCATCTTTTCTTTTTCCTTGCTCTCCCTTACTCTTACCCCGTCTTTCTCTCCCCTATGCATTTTTCTCCTCCCCTGAAAGGTTGGCCTTGTTATATGACAGCCCCCAAAATGCTGGCACACCTGTTGATACAGAATTGTTAAAATAAACCTTGTCAATATGTTTTCAGACACCGATTATTTAGTGTCGTTTCACTTTAATCCACCCCAAGGGAATTATGGATAAAACCTGAGTTACCCCCCCGCCTTTTTCCTGGGGCGGGTCGTAACAGTCACTGCTGTCCCTGTGATGTCACTGCTGTGCCTGTGATGTCACCGATGTCCCTGTGATGTCACTCCTGTCCCTGTGATGTCACTGCTGTGTCTGTGATGTCACTGCAGTCTTTGTGATGTCACTGCTGTCCCTGTGATGTCACCGATGTCTCTGTGATGTCACTGCGGTGTCTGTAATGTCACTCATGTCCCTGTGATGTCATGGCTGTCCCTGTGATGTCACTGCTGTCTTTGTGATGTCACCAATGTCCCTGTGATGTCACTGCTGTGCCTGTGAAGTCACTGCTGTCTCTGTGATGTCACGGATGTCTTTGTGATGTCACTACTGTGCCTGTCATGTCACCGCTGTACCTTTGAAGTCACGGATGTCCCTTTGATTTCACCGATATCCCTGTGATGTCACTGCTGTCTCTGTGATGTCACCGCTGTCTCTGTGATGTCTCCAATGTCTCTGTGATGTCACTGCTTTCCCTTTGATGTCACCACTGTCTCTGTGATGTCACTGATTTCCCTGTGATGTCACTGATTTCCCTGTGATGTCACTGCTGTCCCTGTGATGTCACTAATGTCTTTGTCATGTCACTGCTGTCTCTGTGATGTCACTGCTCTCTCTCTGATGTCACTGCTGTCCCGGTGATGTCACCATTGTCTTTGTGATGTCACCGCTCTCCCTGTGATGTCACTGCTGTCCCTGTGACGTCACTGCTGTCTCTGTGATGTCACCAATGTCCCTGTGATGTCACTGCTGTCCTGGTGATGTCACTGATGTCCCTGTGATGTCATCGATGTCTCTGTGATGTCATCACTGTCTCTGTGATGTCACTCCTGTCCCTGTGACATCACTGCTGTTATTGTGATGTTGCCGGTGTCTCTGTGACATCATCGATGACCCTGTGATGTCACCTCTGTCTCTCTGATGTCACTGCTGTCATTGTGATGTCACTGCTGTCCCTGTGATGTCACCGCTTTCTCTGTGATGTCACCGCTACCTTTGTGATGTCACCGATGTCTCTGTGATGTCAGTGCTGTCCCTCTGATGTCATCGCTGTCCCTGTGATTTCACCGCTTTCTCTGTGATGTCATTGATGTCCCTGTGATGTCACTGCTGTCTCTGTGATGTCACCAATGTCTCTGTGATGTAACTGCTGTGACTGTGATGTCACCGATGTGTCTGTGATGTCACCACTGTCTCTGTGATGTCACCGATGTCTTTGTGATGTCACTGATGTCCTTGTGATGTCACCGATGTCTCTGTGACGTCATTCCTGTCCCTGTGATGTCATCAATGTCCCTGTGATGTCACTGCTGTCATTGTGATGTCACTGATTTCCCTGTGATGTCACCGATTTCTCTGTGATTTCACCGCTTGCTCTGTGATGTCACTGCTGTCCCTTTGATGTCACTTCTGTTCCTGTGATGTCACTGCTGCCTTTGTGATGTCACCGATGTCTCTGTGATGTCACTACTGTCCCTGTGACGTCACCACTGTTCCTGTGATGTCACTGCTGTCCCTTTTGATGTCACTTCTGTTCCTGTGATGTCACCGATGTCTCTGTGATGTCACTGCTGCCTCTGTGATGTCACCGCTGTCCCTGTGATGTCACTGCTGCCCCGGGGATTTCACTGCTCTGCCTGTGATGTCACCACTTTCTTTTTGATGTCACTGCTGTCCCTGTGATGTCACTGCTGTCTCTGTGATGTCACTGCTGTCCCTGTGATGTCACTGCTCTGCCAGTGATGTCACCAATGTCTCTTCAACCAGTCTGCAACCACCACTTTTCAATCAGACTGTGACCACCACTGTCAACCAGACTGCAGATCACTACTCTCGACCAAACTGCAACCACCACTCTTGACCAGACTGCACCACCACTCTCACCAACAGGGGTTTT